TGGACTGGCCAAGCATGTCTCCAGACCTAAACCCTATTGAGCATCCGTGGGGCATCCTGAAACGGAAGGTGGAGGTGCACAAGGTCTCTAACATCCACCAGCTCTGTGATGTTGTCCTGGAGGAGTGGAAGAGGACTCCAGTGGCAACCTGTGAAGCTCTGGTGAACTCTATGCCCAAGAGGGTTAAGGCAGTGCTGGAAAATAATGGTGGCCACACAAAATATTGACACTTTGTGGCCAGTTTGGACACTATCACTTAGCAGTGTACTCACTTTTGTTGCCAGCAGTTTGGACATTAATGACTGTGTGTTGCGTTTACACTGTTATGTAAGTTGTATACTCACTGCTTTACATTGTAGCCAAATTTCATTTCTTCAGTGTTGTCGTATGAAAAGATATACTAAATTATTGACAATGATGTGGAAAGATTGTAATAAAATGATTAAGCCGGTAAACTTAAGAGAAAATATCCTCAAAATGTTTTACAGATGGCACTATACCCCTGCAAAGCTGGCAAAAACGTCAAAGGGTAGCAGCAATATTTGTTGGAAATGTAAAAAAAAAAAGTAGGAACTTGTCATATGTGGTGGACATGTGAAAAAGCCAGGGGTGATTGGTTACAGCTGTGGGAAATAATAAAAGGAATCACTCAAAAGAAATTAAATTTCAAACCTGAAATAGCACTACTAAATATTATGCCAGAAATTACTGACAAGAACATCAAATATTGTTTGATGTATATATTTATAGCAGCTAGGTTACTCTGGGCCCAAAAATGGAAAAGTGAAGACATACCTACAATGAAGGAGTTTGTGAAGAAGTTGTTGGATATTACAGAACTAGATACACTCTCAGAAGCCCTATGAGAACCAAGGACTATGCAAAACTAAGTTGGAACTTAATACAGTGGTGCCTCGCTTAACGAGTGCACCGTATAGCGATGTTTCCGTATAGCGATCCCTTTTTCGGGATCGCTATACGGAAACATACCCGATCGTCGCAATGGGGAAAACCCGCATTGCGAAGATCGGGTATTGCGGCGGCCATTTTGGAGCCGCCGAACAGCTGTTTGGCGGCTCTATAATCCATTACATGTTAGCAATTTGGTTCCTCTGCCCTTCGAAACCCAGCTTGTACTTCTGGGAGTTAGTCACATGCAAATGTTTTGATTGCCATAGTACTGCAAATGCCACTTTTGGAGCAATTTGTAAGATCAGTACTAAAAAACCCCGAATCCTCCATATCATAGAGGCACTTTATTTTCTCAGCGTGTGTTGTTTCCAGAAAGCCATGTTCTGCTGCTACTTTACGTTTTCACGCCGTGCCCTCGCTTAGCGAAGGCGCGAAAATGGCTGCCGGCAATTGGAATCCTCGCTGAACGGGTAAGTAAGAAAGGTATTGGAACGCATTAAACTAAGTTTAATGCGTTTCAATACATTTTCCCTACCCGTTTAGCGACGATTTCGCATAGCGAGGGTTAATCCGGAACGGATTAACCTCGCTATGCGGGGCACCACTGTATACGTTTGGGCCCAGGGACAGATCAAAGGATAGGGCAAAATAATTGATGTGTTTTTTTCTTTCTCTTTCAATGCTCTCTGAAAACTTGGGAAATTTAGGACTCAATGAGGTCTGAATCTCTGTCCTCAAAAGGGGGAGGGGGGATTTTTCCCTTTTTTTCTCATTTTTTTAAATCTTATATTGCATATTTGTTTGTAGTTGGTAGATTTATATGTTCAAATTAAATAAAAATGATATTAAAAAAGAAAATTCTAAATATATATATATATACTAAATTATTTATGAAATGTGAGGGGTGTACTCACTTCTGTGATATACTGTAAATGGTGACATGTCTGGCTTAGCCAGTTGAGACTCAGGCCAAGCTTTGATATGAAAAAAATAAAGTCTTTGCTAGTTCCTCATGTTTGATATTTCATTTATTCTCTCTCTTGCCTTTACCGTGTGTATGTATCTAAAGGCCAAACTATATGTTATGGACAAGCAACCATTAGTAGCAAAAAGTCACTAGTATTCCAGAAATGTGGTGACATGTCTGGCTTAGCCAGTTGAGACTCAGGCCAAGCTTTGATATGAAAAAAATAAAGTCTTTGCTAGTTCCTCATGTTTGATATTTCATTTATTCTCTCTCTTGCCTTTACCGTGTGTATGTATCTAAAGGCCAAACTATATGTTATGGACAAGCAACCATTAGTAGCAAAAAGTCACTAGTATTCCAGAAATGTGGTTCCAGAATACCTTCATGTCTGCAAAACTAGAATTGCAAAAACAACAACAACAACAACAACCCTGTGTTTCTATCCAGAAGACATACAGTATTATAAAAGAAAGAAAGCTAATTAGAAAGGTAATGGAGATGTGAAAAGCTTCTTCTATGACAATCAGACATTCTCAGGACTCAAGATAGCCCCTATTTTAATTACAGACTATCTCTATTATGTGGTTTGGATGTAAGATCCAAAGACAGAAGCTCACTCAGCCTATAAACATGTCCTCACTATTTTGCCTTCATATTTCTTTCACTATGCAACCATGCATTAGAAAAGAGTGAGAAAGCAGCAGCTAGTAAGCAGTCAATTGCACAATGCATTATAAGACACATATTACACATGATCATTTTATTCTTCCAATTTATTTTATTTTTAGGGCCAAGTATATCAGGTTGCATCCAGGGCAGTAGAAGCAAAATCCATTTTATTCCTCTAGGCATGATGATGCTACATTTTCAATGATCTTAAACTCAAAACTGTAGATGCACCTTATTTTTATCATGGTAGGCAAAAGGACATGGTTTTTTCCATTCACAATTAGGAACCCAGAAGCATTTACAAAGCAGTACAAGGCAGGGACTGGACAAGAAGAAAATAATTATTGGCTATGTGCCTCATACTGGCAGTAGCTGCCCGTCTAAAGACCAGTCTTGCTGGTCTTCACACATAAGGTCCAGGATCTGCAGGTTTTCACACATAAGGTCCAGGATCTCACATTATGTAGCGATACCACTGAACGAACAAACAAGCACCAGGCCAAGGTAGGCCACCCCCTCACACACCAACACTAATTCACCACTGCCCTGACAGAAGGTAAAGCAACCCTTGGTCTGGTACTCATTACATAGCAAGATATAGCCAATCATTTGCAGTAGCATTCAATTCCTATTCTTTGCCCCCCACACCCTAAAATACTTCTGTGGAATGGCTCTGTGTGAACCTTCGCCATTCTCATTGGAAACAGCCAGATATACGCGGCAGATACAGGGTTCAGTAATACAGCCTGGCATCTCACTGCTCACCTTATTCACAACAATTAATCAGCTGGAGTTGTGAAGGCAGCTCTGAATTACAGGGGAAAACCTGATGCCATCTCCATTATACCAACTAATCCCAGGAAGCCACCTCATTGAGGCAGTCCATTTAGGAAGACAAGAGGAATGCAAGTACTGGCGGCTTAGCGAGTTAACCTAGTTTAACTAGAAAGCAGTTTAAACTAGATGAAGGTTACATTCCATTAGAAAGCTACAAAGAGCTGGGCAGTGTAGGGCTTCCTTCATACAATCCTGAATGTAGATGCTTAGGAAAGAATTAGCAAGTTATACATTATTAGTGTTTCGCCGTATAGAAATGATAACTATCTATTAAAGGCAGAAGCTCCGTTGGATGATTTGTTTGGATGATGGATGGGTTTATACGTGGCCCTCCAGAGGTTGTTGGCCATCTATCAGTCATAATTAGTGTAGCCAATGGTAAGAGATGACAGAAGCTGTAGGCCAACAACATCTGGATGGCCATGAGTTTTCCACCTAGGTTCTAGACCTGAGGGCAGCCCACAGGTGGCATTCTCCTGCCACCTCCCTGCCACCAAGAAGGTGGCAGGAGAATGCAGCAATGGAAGGTGGGTGGTCAGAGGAAACATTTTGGGAACTCTGTTCCAGCTCTCACTCTTATCTCCAGCCACAGAATATATATATTCAATATAATGATTGTATATTTAATCTAATAAATGACTGTACAGTATATCCTTTCTTCTTTCAATTAACTAGAAAGTCATATAAAGCAGGTCCTGTTCCTAGAAAAACCTTCCTCAAGGCAAAGAAAATCAAAGCAAGGCTAACATAATAGAAGTTTTTCACATGAATGAGTGGCTTCAGTTAAACCTCAAAATGGGTAAAGCGGGCGGGGGGGTAGATTGGTTGCAAGAACACTTCAGTGTTGACAGCAAGCATAAGGTATCTCTTCATCACACTCATCTCCTTTACTTGTCCATCCTTTCACTAATGGTAAAACTCCAGGCTGCCTGAGTCACACCACAAATTTGTTCTTCATGAGGGACCCACTCTTAGTGGCTGTGTCAGCGTGAGCCTGATAACCAATCACTACTTTGGAGGACAGGCCCAGGTGCTCCTTGTATATACGCCTAAAACAGAGAAAACATTAATCACTGTGTGTTTAAGGTCAGCAGTCTCAGTGGCTGAAAACGAGTAGTAAATTGCAACTAGAGTAGGCCTACCAAATCAGTATGGATTTGGTGAGTCAAAACCTATGAAATTTCCAGTGATTCAATGACCTACTCTAATTGTAATTTACCACTTCTTTCTCTCTCTCTCTCTCTCTCTCTCTCTCTCTCTCTGGCTGTTATCTGCTCATTTATGCCCACCATCATCATGTTCACCACCTTTTGTTTGAGAGCTCCTCCCCTAGTCTTCCAGAGACTTTGACTGACCTATTCCATGCATGCCTGCTTCAGATCACACATAAAGGCTTCAAATTCTTAAAAAGATTAGCCCTTAGGAATTTCATGTGTGTTTAATTATAAGGACACATTCAGTATCAGAAAAAGCAATGGACATTAGCCCTGCTGTGTACTGATCAGCACGTCACAACAAAAGTACTGGCAGTTACCCAATATGAATGACTCCATCACGGTTCTCTGCTTCCCTCGTCCAAATTGCAATCTTGTCTCCTTTGGCACGGATGTTGATGACTGCCCCGCAGACCTCATCACTGTAATCGCTAAACATTTCACCAATCAGACAGAGAAGCTGCATTGAAGGGGCAAGAGCAAAAGCCACAATATGCACATGGAACCATTGCTTGCATGATGCAATACAGTCAAGTTTTTCTGGATTACAAGTGCCATCTGTCACTGAGAATTAGATTTTAGGAGCTATGATCCAAAAATGTAACTTTTACAAACTCTGGATGCTTCTTTCTCCTCCCTCCATCCTAAGCTGTTATGTGGTGCAAATCTCTCTAACCCCCGTAAGATATCATGACCTCAGTTATTGGAAGACAATCTGGAGAGCCACCTGCCCAAGAGAGAATGAGATTAACTGCAGGCCAGGCCAGGCACACAGCCCACAGCCAGGATAATGCCACATTTTAGAATGGAAAGAGGCACAGACGCCCAACAGCATTCTGGTCACTTACAGTCTCCAGCCAGAAACGGTCAAGCTCCGTATGCCTTTGCTGCTTGGCCAGTGTGATAAGCCATCGCCCACCACGCTTGTTCCAACTATCTTCCCACATAGGCTCAATGCCGTCCTGCCAGGAAAATGCCAAGGGACAAGCAATGTTTGCCACCTCATTACACACAAGTCACATACCTGTACCTTCTCTGTTGCTACACAAAGTCATAAGTCACTGTTTTCCATTATAGAAGTCACATGGTTCCCAGCAGGTAACACATAGCCCTGGGACTGTGACAATGCAGGTTATCTGTTGGTATGCATAGTGAGCATTTGGGTTTACAACTGGCAATGGTAAGTTGGACATGTATCAGAAGGGTCCGTTGAAACCATTGGGATGCGGTGCTGTGATGGAATGCGTGGGGAGGACTGAACAGTGTGCTGATTAGCTGCCTGCTGCCTGGCTGTAATGAAGCTACTGAGCTGAGCTAAGTTGAGTTAGTTTTCTTAGAAGCAGCAAGATTTCAGGAGAAAGAACTTTGTGTTGGCTTACAGTGAAGTCTGAATCTAAGACTGAGAGCGGTGAGACAGTTAAGAACTGTGCTGAGTAAGGTCTGTGTCTGTGAAGCAGCAGTTGAAATACAGTATGTTTTCACGGGAACTGGTGCAATAGCAAGCATTCATTTATATATAAAGAACTCTGTTTAATGGTTGTTGTGGGTTTTTCGGGCTCTTTGGCCATGTTCTGAAGGTTGTTCTTCCTGAACGTCAGGAAGAACAACCTTCAGAACACGGCCAAAGAGCCTGAAAAACCCACAACAACCATCAGATCCCGGCCGTGAAAGCCTTCGAAAATAAACTCTGTTTAAATTGTAAAGGAAAAGGACTAAAATAAACGAGATTTCAGCTATATAAGAACTTGACTTATAATACTAAACCTTCTTATACTTTTTTTTACAAAAAGGTTTTATGTGGTTTTCCAAATACTGATGATGATAATTATTATTTTTTTTTAAAAAAGCAGCAGTTACAAGATATTATATCATATATACTATTGGCCGGTGCTGGAGTACATGGTCAAGGTTGTGTCACCAAAACAACATAAGTTGTACTGTATGTGTTTCACTCAAAAAGGTTGTATGTACTCTTTTTTAATGGGCAGTGTAAATTTAGCTCTTAGCTGTGGCAGCATTTAAGGAGCAGTGGAAATGAAGCATGGGCTGTTTGCTTGATTTGGTAAAGGAGATATCCCCAGGAAAAGAGTCAGTTACAAGTTAAATGGTGCCCCCCAAGCTTAGTGAAAGGTTTTTGAAGTGGTTGTTGTTTAGTGGCAGCAAACACAAGATGCAAGAAGGTGGGGTGAGCACTGCAGGGACCTATGGCTAATCAGACTCTGAGTTGAGTGCTCCTTCCCTGTTCACTTCAGCACAAGACACCCACCTGACTGGTTTCAGAAGGCACCACATGGGGGGTGTCTTACCTTGAAAAGGGAGTAGTCGCAGCCAGACGTCAGCTTGCTCGCCAGTTGGATATGGCTGTATAGCCTGCAGTCTCAAGGAGAGGAAACAGGTGTGTCAAAAATGCTGCAGGCAAATTTCAGGAAGAAACCTCTGGTTCCCAAGAGAAGTGCTTTGCATGGACATATTCAAAGTAAGTGATATCCACACTAGAAATTGTGCTGAGAAGTAGTTTATAAAATTCAGATATACAAGACAGGGAACTTCCTGTTGCACATGTCTTTGCCAGTTTTGTGTGAAAATAACTTACATGTTGAAAAAACATGCCATACCACCCATGAACATGCTAAATAATGCACCAAACAACCTCTAAGGCACAGGTGACTACTTATTGAGTTACAAAGGCCATCCACATGCCCATATCTGGATATAAAAGTGCCATATCTGCTTCCCACCCACCCTAAAAGTAATTTTCATTTAAAAAAAGCCTTCCCCCTATTTACTGGGGAAAAAGACACACCTCTCACACACTCTAATGGACCTCCTTTTTTATTATTTACAAAGCTTTTTGAGGTTATTGGAGGCAACATGGCTAAGCACATAGGGACATCTGAAGATTTTTTAAAGTGCTTAAAAAGGTCAATAAAGCATTTTAAAAATGGACTGTGTGGGGTGCTGTTGGCCACAATTGGACTGGAGGAGCCATATGTCACCCACTGCCCACAATTTGCTCACCTTATTCTAAAGGGAGGCAGTTTTGTTCAAAATGTATATTCCCATTTCTCTCAAATAAAACTCCTTGCCCAATCACCAGTATCAGTGATATCACTAAGACTGAAGTCCTTTTCCTCCCTCCCATCACACATGCAAAATGAATATACTTTGTTAAGTACAAGTCTGGCGTGCCTTATCCTAAAAGAATTGCTGTTTATGGAGCCTGCTGTATTCCCAGATTTGCCTGGATAGAGGGTATCTCTCTAGTTTAAAAAATTTTAAAAAGTTGAAGGCAGCAAGAAAAGAAGAAGGCATAACTTGAAATGGACCAACTCATGAAAAGAACCCACAGCTTTGAGTTTGCCAGACCTGAGCAGGGCTGTTAATGACAAAACTTTCTGGATGTCAGTAATTCATACGACAGAAGTTACTTGATGGCACAAAACAAAAATGGTTTAAAAAAATCAAAACGACATCTTATGCTTAAGGGCTTACATATTTACAGTGGACCCTTGACTTACAGACAGCTTGACTTACAGACTTTTTGAGTTACAGACTTCTCTGGCTGTAAAATTTAGGTTTGACTTGCAGCCTGAGAATTGACTTACAGACCAGAAAAAAACCAAAATGGAACAAAAACGGCCTGTTACGGGATTAATCGGTTTTCAATGCAGTGTAGGTCAATGGAGACTTGACCTACAGACTTTTTGACTTGAGAACCGCCTTCCAATACGGATTAAGTTCTCAAGTCAAGACCCCACTGTATTGTACAATAAACTTTTGTGATTTAAGTTCAGTTTGGTACTAGATAATGCTTCACTATGCTGCAACAAAAAAACATGTCTATGCCTCAGGAAAATGAAGAACCCGCCTGCATCTTAAATCCAGTTGTACCCTCCAGAGTTCTTTAAGAGAAATCTAACACTGAAGGTTCTGTTCTGAATGGCGTGAGGATGAGAAACTTCTAAATTCTGTTACCCAGCTGCTTTTGCTGGGATTCTTAAGTATCCAAATGTACCATTATTCAAGAGTGCTTTTGAGAAAAACAAGAAACCCCCACCCGCACATAAATAAATTATACTAGTTTGAAATTGCTGCTAAAATATTAACTGCAATCAGTAAAGAAACATTAGCAAGATAATAAGAGCAACCTTTCTGCAATATCAGATGTTCCTAAATAAGCACCCTCAGGGCACAACCAGGCAGGGTGATCATTCCACATTGATTCATGCTTCCTGTATTGCATAGTGGCAGATTGTGCTGGTTGCAAGATTCACACGTCCACATTTTATTAGCCCACAATGCTATGTTTCAACTGTCCACATGGTGGGCAACAATAGCAGCATTTCTCCACTAGCGCTGCCTCTGACTGTCATCTTTCTCAGCTAATATCACCATCTTTTTCTCCTCTCTTTATACTCCCCACTATACTTTGTTCCTCCCCAATACATATGTGAAAATAAGCTACAGTTTTTGGAGACAAGGAGTTCCCCCAAATTTTTCTTGTACATGAATTTTATGCTTGCACAGCATATGGCCCTTGATTCAAAGTCCTTTTAAAAATTATTAAAACTAAAACAGTGCTGAATTGATTTTTTTTTTGGTATATCACTCTTGCACAAAATTTATTTAAATGGTCAGCTAATGTAATTATTATAGGTTTTTTTTTAAGTTGTAAAGGTAAGTGTGGGAAAATTGTATGCCTTTAAAATGTATATATCTATGGCAGTAGCAAATGTATATTATAAATGTATATAAATGTATATATCTGTATACTAGTAGCAGGCATCATGCCCTAGCTGCAAGACACGTACATAACTGCTAACTTCCAGTAAGGATGATCATTAACCTGCTGTCTATTGTCTCTGGATAATGTAGTTAAAGTGTTCGTGTATTCAGGAACTTGTCTGTGTATTTGGATGGTATCTGTGTCTGTTTACTATTAACTGTCTGCTTATCAGCCTGTCTGTTTACCAACCACTCTGTTTACTGATGCCTGTGTATTCAGGAAATTAGTTACCTCTGTATTGATTAACTAGAGCAAATGTAGTAGGGGGATACAATAAAAGAAGAGGAGGCGGGGGAACAAGAGATTCCGCCTCTGAACAGCTGCCATACACTCGAGTGTCCCGTCTTTTCTTTTCCCCCTTGCTGGTCAAGGAGAAAGATCCCTGCCCCTGAGGCTTCATCTGCAAGACCCCCTACTTTCCTTCATCTTGCAGATCCCGACAAAATGGTGCCCTCTCT